ACTGGTCTTTCCTCTCCCCCAGGAGCGTCATGGGAAGCTGAGCGATGTGACACAGGTGGGCGACCCGCCCGGGTCCGGAGCCCAGTTTGGCTCGAGGTGGCGGGTGTGCCCGGCCCTCCCTGCAGGGAGCATTGTCCTGGGTTCCCCCATGCAGCCCATCAGCCTGCAAGCGAGGCCCCGCCCCGGCTTCACCGCTGGCCAATCACATGGGACAGCATTGAGCCACGCCCCCTGCCTCAGCGCTGGCCAATCATATGGGACAGCACTCAGCCATGCCCCCTGCCTCAGCGCTGGCCAATCACATGGTACAGCACTCAGCCACACGCCCTCTCTCACCTCTGGCCAATCACATGGGACAGCACTCAGCCACGCCCCCTGCCTCAGCGCTGGCCAATCATATGGGACAGCACTCAGACCAGACCTCAGCTCCTGCCTTAGGGACCCCATCGACAGTCCTAGTCTCTTGCCCCCAAAGTATTAGCGCTGGCCAATCATATGGGACAGCACTCAGCCACGCCCCCTGGCAGAAGTGAAGGTGCTGGGGCTGGAGGCCAACATGCTCACCATTCTGCCTCAGCGCTGGCCAATCATATGGGACAGCACTCAGACCAGACCTCAGCTCCTGCCTTAGGGACCCCATTGACAGTCCTAGTCTCTTGCCCCCAAAATATTAGAACCCCAAAGGCCCAGTACCCCGGACCAAGGTTGGGGGTGCCCTGGGGGGAGGGCCCGGCACACGGGGCCTGTCCGTCACAGCTGGTGGCCCTGGTGGGGTCTCTGTCCAGCCCTGGAGCCTCTTGCCCATGCAGATCCCACTGTCCCGCCCTCCCTCCGTCCTGGGAGCCTCCATGTGCCGCTTCCATTCCCAGGACCTCGGAGCTGCAGGGACCTGAGCACCAGGGGCCACACCCTGAGCGGCTGGCACACCATCTACCTGCCCGGCTGCCGGCGGCTGACCGTGCTGTGCGACATGGACACGGACGGCGGGGGCTGGACCGTGAGTGCCGGCGGCCGGAGGGCGGTGCGG